GATCGTGGCAAATTTTGGAACGAACCTGCGATAATAGGAAGCGAACCCGACAAAACGATGCACGTCACCCACCGTAGCCGGAATCGTCCAGTCCCGGACAAACGCCGTTTACTCCGGGTCCGTGGCCACACTGTCAGAGCTGACTATGTGGCCCAAATAGCGCACGGATCGTTGCAAAAGGTGACACTTCTTGGGCTTAAATTTCAAATTGGCGGAACGCACCCTAGCAAAAACAGCATCCAATCTCTGAAGATGCTCCTCAAACGTACGGCTAAACACAATAACATCATCCAAATATATCAAGCACATGTCCCACTGCAGACCGGTCAACACGAGTTTCATCAACCTCTGGAACCTAGCAGGGGTGGCGTTCAACCCCATGGGAAGACAATTAAACTGAAACAGGCCCTGCGGCGTACGGAAAGCCGTCTTTTCCCTCGAGGACTCGTCCAGGGGGAGCTGCCAGAACCCCGAAGAGAGGTCAAGAGTGGAAAAAAAATTCTCCCCAGACAAGGCATTGAGGGAATCATCCATACGCGGCAGGGGGTAAGCGTCCGCAACCGACACCTTGTTTAACTTCCGAAAATCGACACAAAACCGTAAATTACCATCCTTTTTCTTTATCAGGACCACCGGAGCGCCCCATGGGCTGTTGGATGGAAAGATAATGTCAGCGGCTAGCATATCATCCACCGCGCCGTGTACATGATCCCTCTCCGCCGGGCTCAACCGATGTGGATTCATCTGAATGGGAGCAGCATCCCCGGTATCAATATGGTGGGAGAGCAACCTGGTGCGTCCCAGATCGAAATCGTCTTTACTAAAGGCATCAGGATATTTCTCCAACAGCGCGCGAAGCGCGGACCGCTGCTCCGTAGTCAAGGACGCATTTTCTTGGCACAACCCGGTGATCCATCGATCGTCCTGCACCGTCGAGGCCTAAACGCCCCCTACGAGGCCCCGGTGGGCCGGATCGTCATGGGCCGTGAAGGCGGTCGTAGCATGTGCCAAAACCGTTCCGGCCGGCACGACGACATTGTCCGCGCCTCCATTCAATACTTGTAAAAACGGAGGCTGACCCGGCCGAACAATCATTTGTGCCGCGACCAGTGCCAGGCCATCCGTAACCGCGTTGGACGGCGACAACAACACCCCCGCCGCCCCCTCGACCCCAGGCACGGGCTTCCGATAACGCAGGGGGATAAGCATCTGCGAGCCAGGTGGAATGTCGACCGAAACATCGGATAGCGCCTGCACCTGACGGTCCGGAGCGGACTGTCCCCACGGCGACGGCAAAAAGAAAATCTTCTGGCCCGCCAGTAACTCAATACAATTCTGATCAACCCTTATCTGAATGGGCATCTTTGCCAGGAAATCGGTCCCCAACAAACACGGCACAGCGAGGGACCTGGAGATTAACACCGTCCCCGAAGCCGACACACCCCCAACCGAAATACGCGCCTCCACCTGACCAACGATGCCCATACTCCCTCCGTTCGCCGCAACACATGAATCGTAAACCGGTCGTACCCGCGACGGTGGAATGGACAGGAGATGGAATATCACGTCCGAGATGATAGTTGCGGACGTGCCCGAATCTACCAAAATCCGCACGTCGACCCCCTGTATCGAACCCGGCACAGTCGACAACCCAGTAGTGGCTGCGACCACCCTCCGCGCCAATTTCCGCCACTGTGTCAGCGAGCGACGCGGATCCCTTAGATTCCCCCCGTTAGAACAGGCCCCCGGAACGCATACCGACGGTGATGCATGAGATGACAGGCCTTGCCGGGTGTCTGATGCGTACTGACTTGCCTGACATGGTTGACTCTCCGGCGTTGATGTCGCGTCCTTGGCCGGGGACTCCAGCTGAAGAGACGGGCGAGGGCGACTCCGACAGTCCCGCTCGAAGTTTCCAAGACGCCCGCAGCGGTAACACGACGAGTCGGTCCGCCGCCCGGCTCACCACCCCCCCCCCCCGTCTCGACGATCCCTAAGCGGTGGGCTGGAGCGCGACTCCGCTCCCCCTCGAGGAACCCACTGGGCCGCCGCTGCAGAGAGATCGCCAGGCCCCCTCTCGTCCGGCACGAAGACGGCCTTTGACGGAGTCCACCCAGCGGCGCCTCCCTCCACGGTCGGGCTCCCCGTCCAGGCGGTCACCTGTGCCCAACGGCACAAGTTGAACTGCGCGTCGAGGCACTTGGCTGCCAACCGTGAGGTCTGCAGCTCATGGCCGCATATCGGCATCGGAATGCCCAAGTCCTTGGACAGCTCCAACATCTTACCCAGTATCAAGGGCTCCAACAAGTCGGGCTCCGTCTCTGGATACGCAGCCATGGCCAGCTCAAGCACAGCGCCCCGAAAAGCCACAGGCGATTCCTCGGGTGCCCATTGCCTCTGGACGAATCTGCGGTGTGCGTCGTCCGGAGGCTCGTTCGCTTCCGCCATTTCGTCGAACGCCCCTTTCAGCGTCGCCTTCTTCGCGGCCTTGATGGAGCGGAAGAATTTCAAAGACTTGTCGTCTAGGAGCATCGGCAGAACTTCCAAGGCCTCCGCATCTGTCCACTTGGCGGATCGGACGGCCGACTCAAAACGCCACGCAAATGCGCTCCAATCTCCTCCAATTGAGAATTCTTTAATCGTCGTCAGGCGATGGCTGCGAGTCCCCGAGCTGCTGTCTTCCGATGCAGGCGTCCCCTGCAGCGGCGACAAGATGGCATCTTCCTGCCGTGGCAGCGACAAGATGGCGGCTTCCCGCTGCGGCGGCGACAAGATGGCGGCTTCCCGCCGTTCGTCCGCGACCACACCCAAGATCGCGGCGTCCTGCCGTGTGTCGGAGAGGGCGGGAAGCGTCGCAGAGGCCCCAATGGTGGACGGCTCGGCCCCACCCGAAGGCTCCCCGCTTGAAGGCCCGCCGCGTGGCCGATCTGGCATCGTCGCTGGCACGACCAGGGTGACTAAATCCAGCAGAACGGCCCGCAGCGAATCAAGCTGGACTGCCACGTGTCGCCAGCCATCCTCGGCGCCCGTCGACGCAGACGGCCCGGCCGCCCCGACGACATCTTGTACTCCTGTCGTGTCGCTCGCCGCTACTTTGCCCACGCCTTCCATGGTCGGGACCGCCACCGCCGGAGGAAGGTCCTCTTCGTCTTCTGAAGATGGTGCAGGTATATTCTTTTTCTTGAGATGTTTTGACATCTCTCCGTTTGTCTTTTATTCAGGTTCTTCTCCGCACCCCCACTGGCCTCCTCTTGGACCAGTGTCGTCTCGCGCGCGCCCCG